ACAGTATAAATAAACATGTTTACAGCCTGGTAGAAAAAAAAGAAATAGGTCTGATTAGTTAGTGTCATCATGGGCACACTGTACGGGGGGTGATTATTTTTTTAAAAAGGCTCTGTTTTGATTTCATGTGTTATCCATAGTTAGGCGTGTAGCTGATATGATTGACAGGTGCACTCCCCCTGCTGACTGTATGCAGTATAGGTCATACATCTAGCCTCCTCCATTTTGATAAATGGGACATGGGGCAAATTTTGAAAAATCGAAAATACACAGTAAATACATTTTTCTCAAACATGACAATATTTAGCTTCTAAGCTGATTAATGTCCAAGTGTTCTCCTTAAAGAGAAGTTAAGTTTTAATTACTTCTTTGATGAGAAACAGAGCGGATGTTGCATCATGATTGACAGCTCTGTTAACGGATGCTTCGACTGCACTGTTCATTACAAGATGAGCAGAGTACAAGAGGAACGACTCGAGGACATGTAACAGACGCTTACATGAGTCATTTCACTTTCCCATAATCTGTGGAGCTGGAAGACCTAGCGGTTAGTTTTCCGCACCCAATGTACAGAGGCTAAAGTCCTTGTCCAAGCAGCTGTGGGTTTGAATCCGACCTCGGCCCTCTCCTGCCTGTCATCCTCAACTCTCTCCTCCTAACATTTCCTGTTTCGTTTTAGCTGTCCTGTCCAATAAAGGCAAAACGTTTTATCGGTCAGCAATGTCTTGCTTCCAAATTACATCACCAGCTCAGTTTTTCAGCACCCATCACAGCGTATTTCTGCTTCAATTTTGTACAAGGAAAGTAGATGGAGTCACATTGTCCATATTTATGTATAGTCTAAGGGTTCACCGAGCCTTTTTAATCTGGCTGTTGGTCCTTTATTACGCGCTGTCACTTGTAAAAACAACCCAGCCGTATCAGTAGGTTTCTGCAGGAAATGAATTGCCCTTTGCTTAGCCGCTTATCTTGATGCAGCGTACACACCCCCAGCTGGTTCTTTAACCTGACAACCATCTTGTAATCTAAATTAACTTCAGCCTGGACAGACAGATGTTGTATCAGACGTTTCAGGGGTTAATCTTCTCACCGCTGCAGTCCTCCGACAGTATCAGGGGCTGCTGGTTTGTGTGATGTACACTTTGTGTTGGCAGCTGACAAGCCTGCTGTGAAAACGCCGAAGGGCTGAATGGGGAGGTGAGAGGCAGGAAGCAGGGGAATAACCGAGCGCTAATGGATCGGGGGGGAGGAGAGGATGTGACGGCGCTCAAGGCTATGTTGTTCTCGCTGATAAATATAGAGATCTTTCTCACTTTTTTTTTATCCCGGCTGTCCTTCACCAACAAAGTTCGGTCTGTTTAGTATTTTATTCTTCTCCAAGGAAGGACGGGTCTGTTTACTAAGAGGAGACTGCAATCATGCAAATACACTCAGATCTAAAGTATGTTTGTCCAATCCAGAATCCTCCTCCTGCATAACGAGTGGCTGTGTGATTTATTGAATTTATCAGAGGAACCTCTCAGAGTTAATCTAATCTTTTCTAGCAGTGAGAACTGCATTAAGGTGTTTTATCCAGTGGGTATCTTGAGTGGGCTTTCATCTCTGTACTTTAGTCAAATCATTTTAAATGCTCATACGGTGTTGAATTTATGGAAAGTTTTCATAACGGTACTGTAGAAACCAGATTAGATTTTTACTACTGAATCAAAAAGGAATCATAACATGCTTTATTTTGACACATTTATGAAACCTCTTTCCACACATTCACTCCTGAATATTTCTAGTATACCTTGCATTTTCCAAATTTTCATTAAAACATGTCTCACAGCGTGAAATTTTCCCTGTTTTATAGGACTGTAGGGATGTAAAAAATATTATGTAGGAGCAGTATGTAACACTGACATCTAGTGTTTAAAACAGGTACTGCAGTCCAAATTCTAAACATTGTAGAGAGCTGTCTCCCCCCCCCCTCTCTCTAGAGTCCATGCTCACACAGGTCACCATGTGGTGGACTCTGAAGCTTCAGTGTTTATCCAGCTCTGCATGGGTCTGTAAACCTTTCTGTGTTCTAACCTCTCTCCATTTTTCAAAAGCATCTCCAATATTGATCCTAGTTTGAGCACGTTTCTGCTCGTGGAGTTTATTAGAAACATGCAGAGGCTTTTTAGGTCGGGTACAATCACTTCTATCTGAACCACTTCTCTTGCCTGCTTCCATCGCTGCAACACCTGTTGACCTGATAACTGCTCTCATATCTGACAAACTGAGGGGCGTCCAAAACGGCCGTGTGAGGGGGTCAGCCTTAAAACCGCCTACCTTCTCTGGTCCAAACAAAAACAAACCATTCAAGGCCAGAATCAAGACTTGCACTCACATCTCAATCTAGGCAATCTGTAACATGACCAAGCATGCTTCACCCTCAAAGTCCTACTAGTGCTTTATGTTATTGGACGTATTCACATTACCAACAGATGTGTGGCAAAGAACATACTGGAAGTAGAAAAGAGTGTAAAGCTGCTTTATTACGTACACAAACATCACACCGGTTACTCACTGGTCATGATGCGCTCAATCGCAGTCATTTTTCCTGAATATAACCACTGCAATCAAACATCCGCTCATCCTGAAAGATTTTGTCAACGTGTCAAAAAACCAAAGGACTTAAAGGAATGTGCTCACTTCTTTATTACACCAACAACTTGTATTATCATTGGTTAATCCCATTCTAAACCCAGGACTTGAACAACTGATTAGTACTTAAAGTGCCTTATGAACTGATTAGTTTCCTTGTGTTTAACATCAGCTTGTCTCTTTTTGTACAGGGAGAACGAAGAAGACAAAGAAATGGCAGATTTCCTGAAGTCCAAATTCCCGAGACATACGAAGAAGAAAGGTATTTTAAGAATAAAGAGAGCTGCTACTTTGTGCGCCATCAAAGTTTTAGTATCTGAGAAAGGAACATGCTGCGGCAAAAGAAAACCTCTTTGTTCCAAATGTTTTTCTTGTTCAAGGTGCTTTTCTCCTCGGTGCTTTGATCGATCGGAGTTTCACTCTTACACTGACTGAGACTTCATGAAATTTGAAATGGGAGTTTTGCAGCTGTGCTTCACACCTGTATGGAAAGAGATATCTCTTTCTGCTCCTCTTTGCACAGCCAATAACCATCATCATCTCTTCTTAAAGGGATACTTCACCCGTTGAAACATGAATCTGTATTGACATTGGGTCATATATGTAGAAATGTGAAATAATTTTGAAGTTGGTGCCTTCTTGGCCGAGAAAAGACAGAAAGTGTCTTTTTGGCTCATGTGGATGAAAGACACCAACTTCCAGAATGCACAGCAGCCGCCTCCTGTTCCGTCGCTATATTGCGACTTGCAGAGATAGCCAAGAACCTCCGATTCTACCACAAGACCTTCAAATTCCCCTTCATCCTTATCAGTTTGAAGTTGAAACATACTTTCCGCTGCAGCTTTTTCCACAGAACCTGTTAGCATAGCTTCCAAGCAAGATGGCGGACGTTGCATTTAGATTTTGGGAGTGAGTTCCCACCCGCTGATCTGTGATAGGTCTGTAGCTTCAGTGGGTCCCACCCCCCATGAGGAACTAACGATGTAGTTTCACCCCCTCTAAACAAATTTTTGTGTCATTGGAGGCTCCTTTTCAGACTTAGAAATACGTTGCTTTCCCATCTTTGGGGAAAATGAGGGCGGGATGCACAACCATTCAAAAATACCACCAGGTTTCTAATAATACAAAGCTTAATGCAAATAGGTGAAGTATCCCTTTAAACATCTTTATAAACATAGTTCAGCTGCATGATGTGATATTTCTGGTTTCAGGTTTACCAATGAGACGGGTTCCATCCAGGGCTCAGCAGACCTCCTCCCCCTTCGCTAAGACCGGCCTCACCCTGCTGAAGGAGTGCTGTGGATTCACGTGCTCCATTATGTAGACTGAAGCCAAAACTGGAGGGCCTCATGGCAACCCCCCTTCAACAAAAAAAAAAGAAAACCCGCCATCTCACAGGAATCCATAATTCCATATTTGGCTTTTCAGTCGGAGAAAGACTTTGACGCGTGGATGGAGCAGGACAGATGCTGAAGTTAAGATTTCCCACAGGGAGAGAGGAGGGGGGGGGGGATTTTGCAGAGATATTGTGGTGTGTTTTTTCATGCAAAGACCCCAAAGTCTGCGTTTTGTTGGATTTATTTTCTGTGCTTGTCTCCTGTGTGTCTCTCATCACACTAATTATTGCTGCTTAAGCTTCCTCTGACAACACAGTCTGAAAGGGGAAAAAAAATAAGCAAACATACTTTATATATCTCTCTCTTTGAGGTGCACAGGAGGAGGGGGGGCGAGAAAGTAGAAACAGCATAGCACATGTCAGGGCATGGATAGTGCACACACTAATTGGACTCAGTTACCATGGCAAGCCTACAAGTTTTTTGATATTTAAAGATCTAACCGAGCTGAAGTGTCACTGCACCGTTAGAAAAACAAGCTGTGTTTGCAGGAGCCAGTCCAGACACCCCGCTGGAACGTTAAAAGCAGAATTAAAGAGATAACACTAATGAAAGTGGTATTAAACGGGGTGTGTTAGAGTGAGGATGCGTCCGGTTCGATAGAAGTAGGTACGACCTTTGAGAAGGGGAACTACGGATGTCTCTTCTCACTTTCATTTCCTTAAAAAGACATTTAACTAGCATCTGTTCTACCAGTCTTCTCTTTACAGTTTCATGTTTTCGCCGTCAATTGTTTTGCTCATTTTAGAGCAGCAAACCTGAAGCGTCATTTAAAAAATGTTGTTCTTGTGGATGGTGTGGAATTAGTGGACAAGCATGCAGGATTTTGTAATTTCTCGGAAGAGGCGAGACAAAAAAAACAAAAAAACACAGAAAGTATAATGGGGATGTAACCAAAGATCGTCTACAGGAAGAAAAAAAAAAGATCATAACCAAGTGGTATCCTCTGGGGTTGTGAAGTCAATGCGGAGGTGAAAAGAACTGCAGTTCCTCTAGTGTCCACTTGAGGCTGGCTGCAAAAGACCCAGAAGCCCCATACACACCCCATATTATATTGAAATGTTCGTTCTGACAGCAGAAATGAACATGTTTACAGCCTAGTCTTTACTGGCAAACACAGTACAGGGACTGTTTTATTTTTATTGAAGGATAAGAAATATGCATGAGCTATCTGACTGCTAGCAGCTGTGTTGTTAGCTGTGAGTCAGGAGGCGTAAGACCCGCCCCCCTCAGCTCCAGCTCTTTGCCTGTTGTTATGTTGACCAGGTTTGAGAGAGTCAGCGTTTGAATCAAGAGTAAATGGACTTGATCTTGTAAAGCGCTTTTCTCGTCTTCTGACTACTCAAAGCGCTTTTACACCGCAGGTCACACCTACACATTCACACCTACACATTCACACCTACACGATTCACACACTGATGGCAGAGGCTGCTATCTTAGGTGTCCATTATTAATAATTAATCCCATTCATACACATTTATACAGCAGTGAGAGCAACCTGGGGTTAAGTGTCTTGCCCAAGGACATATCGGACATTTGGATGGCCGGCAGTGAGTAGAAATAGTGGATCTCGGAGCTGGGCATGACGTCACACCCGAGTTGTATGCTTCCCAGTTGCAAGTCGGAAAAGCCACATGGACGCCTCCAGGGGTACCTTTTTGTTTTGTTTGCTAACACCAGACGATAACAACACACTACGTGATAGTTTCTGACCGAACATGAAAACTTGCACAACACCATCGAACAAAAATCAAAAATCGAACCGCCAACCTTCCAGTTGAGACACAACCGACTCTACCACTGAGCCACAGCTGCATGGATGGGCTTCTAAACAGCCCTTGAAAAAGCAATGGGGGACGTCGCCCATTTTTAAATGCAGTCTATGATCATAACTCAGCTGTCCTCTGAGGTGACGAGTGTGCGTGAAAGGGTTAAAGCGGTCTTCTCAGTTTGCTTCATCCAAATGAGTTCTCACAAATCATATAGATCTGCATGGAACAGCAGACCACTAGACCTAATATATAAACCCCTCCAGTGTTAATGACACATCATCATACACATCATGAGGGAGCACTTTACTGTGTTTGAGTCAATACTTCATGTTTTATACTGAGACGCTCTCCCGGGGGCCGAGACCCTCCAGCCCTCTTCCACTATGAATACTACTATGATATTTTTGTTACCCCCGTCCTACTCTGGATCAGCTTATAAGGCCTGAGAGCGTACCTATAGGAGGTGTCTCCACAGCATACTCAGCCAATCAAACTATGGAGCACATCTCTGTGTTGCCAAGAAGACTAGTCGCCATAGCAACCTCCTATACCCCCCCTGTCTTTACCATGAGACAATATGAGGCAGACTGGATGGAACAGAGACAATCACAGCTGAAAATTAAAAAAACAGATATTCCATTGTAAACTAATAAAGAGTGAAAAGAAGAGAGTAGATTAATGCTGACATCATTTTGATCATCTTATTTTAGATTAAGAAAAGCATAAAATGTAATATGAGTCTATAAATATCTTCGAGCAGATGCTCTTCTTTAGCCTGTGACGGGCAATATTCACAAACAAACGCAGGTGGGACTGATTATACATGTCAAGAGTTGGTCATGCCCATGTCATTTGTTTTATGTTGGTAAAACTACTTAACATGCTATGTTGAAGTGCTGGCTTCTCTGACAACAATGCAGCAGTCAGTATGTCCTCCTTCTAACTTTAGATTCTGCTCCTGAATGCTCTGGATTTGTTTGGACCAGAGCAGGTAGGCGGTTATAAGGCGACCCCCCACACACGACCGTTTTGGACGCCCCTCGGTTTGCCCAGATATGAGAGCAGTTATCAGGCCAACAGGTGTTGCAGCGATGGAAGCTGGCAAGAGAAGTGGTTCAGATAGAAGTGATTGTACCCGACCTAAAAAGCCTCTGCATGTTTCTAATAAGCTCCACGAGCAGAAACGTGCTCAAACTAGGATCAATATTGGAGATGCTTTTGAAAAATGGAGAGAGGTTAGAACACAGAAAGGTTTACAGACCCATGCAGAGCTGGATAAACACTGAAGCTTCAGAGTCCACCACATGGCAACTTCGACTCTGGGGAGGAGGGGGCGGGTGACACAGCTCTCTACAATGTTTTGAATTTGGACTGCAGTACCCATTTTTAACACTAGGTGTCAGAGTTACATATTGCTCCTTTAAGACTCAGATGTACGATAGTAAATCCTCTATATTCATCAGTGCAGACACTTCACCAGTCATGATCACAGAGACTCACATTACATGAGCATAGAAGTATTTAATATTGCTCTCAGAGGTGGAGATAGGACCACAATCCCTCTGCAGAGAGAGACATACTGGATCCATTGTCTGGGGACCCTCTTTGCCAAGAGCTTTCATTTAATTGTTTTTTTTAACTGCTTGGTTTTGTTGTCCCTTTTTCTTAAATTTAATTGATGCTGCTTGTTTACTACCTCTGTGATATAAAAAAAGATGGAGTGTGGTCGTGACCTCTGCGTCACTCAGATTGAGAGGTACCTGTACTTTGGATGTGTATGTATTATAAATCCCACCTGTGTACGTTTGTGAATACTGCCTGTAACACACTGAAGAAGAACGTCTGCTTGAAAAACGTCAGGCAATTAAAAGTACAATTTGTAGTACTGTCATTGTTTTTCTTGTTTTGGACATTTATCCAGAATTAAGCACCCAGCTGTGATTAGAAGTTGAGCATGATCCTTTCCCATCTTGCTTGATTTCAGGCTAACCCCGCCTCTCACCCGTGAACGGGAAAGGCAGCATAGATAATGGATGTTTGCGATACCTATTTTGACATAAGATGCTAATTTGGAACTCGGATCCATCATTGTAGATCAAATATTTCCCAGTGAAAATCACAGCGAGTTCTCCAGGCCTGATTATTCCCATCTAGTCCTTGGATTCATACATAAAAATAGCGCTTTTGTTCACTCTTGTATCCAGTCTGTTGCTCTCATGGAGGTTCACAGGGGGAGTGAAATGCATTCAAATAATGATGAAATAATGATGTAACATTGGAAAAAACAAGGAGATACTTTACCTGAAAGTGATTCCATCTTGTTTCATGAGTGTGTTGTACATAATATGTGGTAACTATTGTGACAGTGAAAACTATTCTACATTAGAAATTCAAATGTAGCCTATATTTTAGCTACACAGGGAATATTTTTTGGCCTGGTGGAGACTTTAATCTCATCAGTTTTGTGTGTGTGAGGGACTTGTGGACCACACTTGACATGTTTATATTCTTCAAACGTGTGTGAAGTTTCTTGTTCTAAATCCACTCTGATCCTGTATTTGATCATGTCTATAAACCCCTCTATTTCAGCCCTGCTAAGAACAGGCTGTTTCTGTGTCTGTACCTTTAAATATGTAAATGAGCTGTGTTTGACCACGCCCCCTCTCTGGGAGGGCTTAGGTGTACTCTGGCTTTCTCGCTCGATGTCCTATTGTTTACGGTGAGAAGGCAGACTCAGAGGGCAGAACAAACACCGAGCTGTGGGAGTGTCACCCACCTGGGGGAGGGGCTACTGCCCTTTGTGATGTCATGAAGGGAAAATCTCCAAACGGTCTGTTTGAGCACACATTTTCTGAAAAGTGGAACAGGCAGAAGACTGAGAGGATGGACTTTTCTCATCATTGGAGTGTTTGTAGACAGACTAGAGACACATATTAGAGTTAGAGAAACATGGTGAAGTTTATTTTGCAGAATATGTGACCTTTAAGATCTCACTTTGTTTAAATAGGGAGGGTTCATTTGATGTGTGTGTGCTACATCTCCTGAATGTGCCATGTATGAGTAAAAATAGGACCTAAACATTTTCTGAGGAATTCTTAGAGACTCTGGAGAGACCCTTTAAGGAGAGACACCGTGTCCCAGGAGGGAGTCAGGTGGAGAAAATGGTACAAGAGGAGTAGCTGTGGTCAAAAGCAGGGGGGGGGAGAGAAAGAGAGAGAGTGAGTCAGATAGAGGGAGGGGGGAGGGCACAGAGGGGTGGTGGGGGGGTCTAATCTTCAGTGTGAGTCATCCATACAGTATAGTGAAAACACAGAGTTCCCACGAGGCCGACTCTCTGTGAACGCAGCGTGGTTAAAAGGGCATGACTGTCATTCAAACACCATAATCCTGCACAGCTCATTATATCAGGAGACGGTATGAGTCTGATTATATGTGTGAGTGAGTGTGTGTGTGTGTGTGTGTGTGTGTGTGTGTGTGTGCTGGTTTGTGTGCCTTTCGAACACCTAGGTGGAGAGGTACAGTAGCTGTCACTGCTTAGTTACCATGGTTACTGTGACTGGATGGTAAACTCTCACTTCTTGTTTCATCGGGCCGTGCTTTGATTCAACTCTACAGGATGCATGTGTGGTTAAAAAAAAAAGAGTACGCCTGTCAGGACATGTTTTAGTAACGTTCAGGGAGCACGGCCCTCGTTTGAAGCTGCTAATAAAATAAATGAATCGGTCTCTTTTAATTCAATCAACAGGTTTGTTCTCTCCTCACAAACAACCTAAACATGCTGCGAAATATGAAACAGCTTCTCTCTCTCTCTCTCTCTCTCTCTCTTTCTCTCTCTCTCTCTCGCTCTCTCTATCTCTCTCTCCCCTCTCTCTTTTCAGTGCAGAAAACATTTTGAACAACAAATGATAACAATATATACAGTAAACAAATCCAACAAATATGAATAAAAGACATTAACAATAACATGAATTATTTTACAGTGTATTTCTATGAAAGTGTATTTTGTCTCAGTTTGTGACAGTCATGAACATATTTATCAGCTCGTGCTGCACACAGACTTTTGTCTCCACAGAGATAGAGCAGCTTCTGGAGAAAGTCAGAATATTTATTAGAAATGTAATCAAAGAGAGTCTCTCTTAAATCTTTATACATACTTTAGACATACTCTCTCTCTCCATACTTCAGACATACTCCCATACAATCACCACTCAGCTCACTAATTAACACATCAAGTTGCTTCCGGTTGCCTAGCAACCTCACGGTGATTAGACCCAGTCAAGTGAAGACGCCACGCTCGTGGTTGTATTAATAGAGAAACATGTAAATGAGGAGACGGAACAAAGTCGCACAGCTGGCCAATCACGGTACTGCTATACGAGAAAAAAACAGCTTTCTATTTACAGTTTGTAACAAATGTGTACACACAGTGATGTCCATCGATTAGAAAAGTTGATCTAATTGATTAGTTACAGGCTGGCACATCAGGGTGTTCAGAGTTTGGACTTCACCTCAAAAGAAAAAAAAAACTTACTTCAATCAAATCCAAAATGTCCAACTCAAAAACTATCACAGAATCACAAGAAGAAGTCACTGGACTACTTTGAAACACTTATAGAAACACATTGAACTCAAGAATGTAACAAAACACACTAGAACACAGAGAGACACAAGGAGAAGAACCCAGGAAACACTAAAGACCGAACTAAGAAACATTAACACAAGGGAAACAAACAACACTAGGAAAAGAATGAAACACAGAAAATATACAAAATACAAAACCAAATCATGACACAGTCACAGATCCACCTGCTGGTCTCATCTAATTGAGATTGATTTAGGCTCACAGTTTGCTCCGTCTGTGTCTGGCACAGTCCTTAGTCGCCCCTGGTAACCCCACCCAGGGGTGCTGAGGTGTTGAAATCCCTCCATCAGTCGTTACAGTAGCACACTGGGCTTTGACCATGCTTCACTTTGAGTACGTTTCTAGAAAGTTTGGATGATTTTGTTCTTCCTGTAACAACAAGAAAGGCTCTGAGTAAATTGTTGAAACTAAGAAGCTGGACTGGAGTCTTTTCTATGAAGCACACGTCAACCTTTTGTTTTCATCTCTGCAGCTTGTGTGTGCATTTCTGGGAAATAAGATGGAGCCACACTAACAGAAATGTTACAGGCCCAGTGGGATAAGTGATGCAGGGATGATTTATTGTAGTTCAAACCCAAACTAAAAGGGACACAGAGGATGAAAAAATGTAGTTTCAGCTAGATTATTCCTTTGTCTTTTGAGCAATCATCTATCATAAATTCAGAGAATAAAACTGAGGAGAAAAAGGAATCATCAATAATCAAGACTCCTAAAAGAGGCTGGAGGTTCTGTATGTTTGGGAGGATAAGAGTCTCCTCTCCCGGAGGCGTTCAGGTGTTCACTCTCTCAAATCTTTGTCTTAGCTACTTTAGTATTTCTCTGAGCAAACCCACATTAATGTGACGTCGCTGCTGACATAATGAGAGGGAGATAAGCAGAGACAACAGACCCTGGACCTGGCAACCTGCTGCATCACAAGGATTCGATTATTGGAAAAGAGATGTTTAGAGGAGGGAGGGAGGGAGGGAGGGAGGCAGTGACGGTGGGATGAGTCACAGCGAAGGAAAATGAGTTTCTTTTCCTGTGCAGGTGACTTTAGAGAGAGTTAATGGAACCTGGCAACCTTCTAAATAAAGGGCGGTAGAACTGCCCACGCTCTCATTACCGGGTGACTATGACGATGAGTAAAGGACTGAAGAGACAAAACCAGAGAGAGAGGATATAGATGTGTACTCCCTGTGGTTTTAAAATGAAAAATCATCACTGGACGCTGTAGTGCACATGAAAGAATAAAAAGAGAGGCTCGCTCGGCAGCAGCAGCAGCAGCAGCTGGCAGCAGCAGAGCTCAGACTGTCACTGGATTGTTAATGAGACAGGACACACAGTCCTGGTCCTAACGGGATCAAAGAGCCTTCACGGGTAGAGCTCTCTCCTCTTTGCTGTAATCCCTGACTCTACCATATGACCTCGTCGTCTTCTCTCTGTGCTGCAGTGTGAGAGAAACGTGGTTCTTCCTTTCTGACACATTCGACCATTTTTGCAGCATTAATGTTTTGTTTACTGTTCTTAGTTGTTACCGAGGTAACCTCCGCTGTAACTTTATCAGACGTTCATCTGCCTCATCCTTAACTACAGCCCTGTTTCCAGAGGCGCTGCTTGTCAACAGGCAACTGCTCGAGGCCCCAGGCCAGAAGGGGGCCCCCAACGGCCGACAAACTTGAAACCAAAGCATTGCCTCAGAATGTGCAAATTATGCAACGACAATAGGAAACCTGCCTAAAGGGGGGTTGGAGGGGCCCCTACAGACCCTATAATCGCCCCTGCCTGTTTCAGTGGGTTCAAGATAAAGCATGTTCATGTTCCAAACTTTCATTAAAGCTAGTACCCCTCATTTTTGATCCTTTTGACCCCCCTCTGACCCTGGAAATAAAGGACTAAAGAGTCAAAGAGATGAAATGAGACGGTGAGAAGAACAGCGCTGCAGTGAGTGAAGCTCTAAAGTGACAGGAGAGATGCAGAGTCACGTCACGAGACTAAACTGATTTTGTGATATTCTGATTATTACATATTAATAACACTGACGTTGCAGCTGGGTGTACAAATGATGTGACAATGACCTGGGTCACAGACTCACCCTGGGATGAGATGATTTGAGTCATACAGTAGATGTCACTACGTACAAGAGTTTGCTTTTGTTTTAAAATTACAACATTTGATCATTTGTTTTCAGTCCTCTCTTGCATTTGAATAAAAACAGATTTGATATTTGAACCTCAAATCTATTGATGCCTGAAGTCGAGATCTCAAGTCAACAATAAGACATGAATCGATGGAAAGGAAAACCGACACAAGTGAGTGACAGGAGCAGAATCAGTTTGATTATTTCCTATTTGAGCGTCCTATCAGCCCGCGAGCGATGAAGAATGAAAACAGCACAACTCAACGTTTTTACCTCTGACATCCCGTTTTTATTTACTTTATTTTTATTTATTTATTTTATTTTATTTTATTTTATTTTATTTTTATTTATTTTATTTTATTTTATTTATGTATTTAATTTATTTATTTTATTTATTTTATTTAATTTATTTCATTTAATTTATTTAATTTATTTATTTTATTTATTTATATTTATTGCACTTAAAAAGCAAAAAAAGCAAAAAAACAAACAAAACAAACATAATAGATCAATGGAAAAACAGACAGCACTTAATGATTAGTTAATTAACAAAATCTACATTTTGAAAGAAATGTGCTGGAGGGGCTCGTCGAGTGGCCCTCACTTAGTCAGGGACATGAACGAGGAAGGGGGGGGGCTCCAGTAGGCACAGGCAATGTCCAACAGGAAAACTTTTCTTTGATTTTCTTCCTCTTTTCTCTCTCAACAGAAGCTCGTCAGATGGTTGTACAAAGAGGAGGTAGAGGTGTGTTATTAATATTCACATCAGTGATTGAAACGTTGAACTTTGACTTGTGTCAACACCGGAGGAAAAACTTTACACGGCTCAACCGCAAGCACTTTGTTGACGAGCGTTTGAGGTTTGTGATTTGAGTCAACAGCTCGTAAAGAAACAAAGAACCACTCGTCCGTTTGTCCACCTTCACAGAGAAGAGAACGGATGCAGTGTGGACAGTGAGCGTCCGATGCTGTGCGAGGAGATGAGAGGACACTCTTCAAAACTATATCACACAATAACAAAACATAAACTATGTAACTGTTGCTTTTGTTTGACATTTCAATCATTTTTAAGAATCTAAAATGTTTTAAAAATGTGTTTATAATTTAAGATTTAAGCATCATGTTCATTCATGCAGTCAATCTGAGTATTTATTTTGGGCCCAATACAGGTCTGTACCTGCCTTGGGGTCCTGGGTGGTCAGTTTCACTTTCCCCCCCCTTTATGATGCCCATAAATGTGTCAGTTTCTGGTCATATTTCCCTTGTTGAGAGGATTACTACTCTCTTCTAGTATTTTTAAAATGTATTGCACAACAATCAAACATTCTTTGGTCCAAATCCCGGATCCTGTGGTGACTCTTGAGTCTCCTCAGGTTCTTTCCAGCAGCGGATCTCTGGCTCCATCTTGTGGTGATTTTGCGTAAGTGCAGCTACAAGTTGCAGAGAGCGGCTCCTCCGGTTTGCCAGATACGTGAATCCCCGCCAAGTTGCCCTCACACGTCAGAGGAGACGGCCCGGTACTGGTGAGTGGACGTGTGCGACGCGTCACCAGCCAGTTCCCGGATGCAGCGAACATCAACATGGAGCGTGTGGTGGTGGTGGAAGTACCGATCAACAACGGTGAGGCTTCACACGAACCACCTGCACGTTCACACACGTTTTCACTCCCGTTTCATACATTTGCTTTTGCTACTTGTGGTTTGTCGATTGGTGCAGACTCTAATGTTGCGTTCAGGGGCATCAGTGTGTCTCTGTGTGAATGCTTGTAGCTGCAGGGGACGGCTGCTTGTACTCGTGTAGAGCTGATCTTAATCTTTAGACCTTTGCAACTTCATGAAGCTCTCTGCAGAACAACACAGGAGGCCGTGTACAAGACCGAGCAGAGACTAACATGGATCAAGTAAATCAGTGGAGGATGTCTAATGGCTGGATTTAGGACTTGGATGCACTTTATAATAAATAGTGAGAATAATCATATAAACGTGTGTTTGTTTGTTTGTTTCTCCATCAAAAAGGATAGAAGTGATAACAAATGTTTGTTTACCTTTAGATTGAGTGTGCTCTGATGGGATGCCAATTAGAAGTGTACATATAAGCCTATCTCAAATAATAATAATAATAATAATATATCTATAACACCTTTAAAAACAGACGTTTACGAAGTGATTTTGCAGACAAAGCAATGGCAGGAAGTCAGGAAAATAAAACATTAAACATCATCAGTTAGGCCAGACAGAGAGATTTTCTACAGATGGAAACACAAGTAATAAGAAAATAAAACAATGAACAGCAGGCTGGTCTCAAAGACAGACTTTAAAACATTATTAGTAAAGATGACGACATCACATCACAGTGGTACTGAAAACAGAAAGGAAGAGAGAAAGGGGTGAAATAAAAGAAAGCTGGTAAATATCAAAAAGCAGAGAAACGTGTTAAGAATGGATAAGAGCAATAAAAGGAATAAAGGAAAGGATGCATTCAAAGGTTTAAACATGAAAAGAAGAGATGATGATGACACACTTTCTGAAGAGTTTAAACACAGTGTTTGTGTGTGTGTAGTCCAGTTGGTTCCCAAACGTCTCTGCAGGTCGCTCCTCTTTGGTAGATGAAAATCATTTTCCTAACAAAGTGGGTATACTCTTTATTTATTTTTATTTTTTTAAGTGTCCCGTCCAGCAGAGGATAAACAGCCTCTGTTATAAACAGTGTCATGTCAGACTCCTCATACATATTTAGTTTGTGTGAACTAGCCAATTAGAGACTTCACGGTCAGGGAAAGAAATTGCATATGACTAAATATTGTCAATCAATGAATGGTGTGAATCAGAGGAGACTGAGAACTGTGTATCTACACCCCTCACATCAACATACTGTCTATCTACATACATGCATCACACAGTCCGTCAGTCACGCTCTTTACTAACACTGTCCTATATTTATTCAGAATTTATATCAAACTTTAGCTGCAAAAAAACGACACTATCAGTTCAGTGTGTGAAGAGAAACTGACTCTTAAAGAGGAAACCGTTAAAAGAGAAGCTGTGACATGAAACTTTGAGACGTCTGGTGTAGATTCATATTCAGCCTGACACTTAGCAGAGAGGCCTCTCTTAAACTCTTAAACTTTGCCATGCTTTGCTAGAGGTGAGCATTGTTTTGTTTTTGTTGGAGCTCAGACAGGTAGAGGGGGAGGAGCCAGGTTATGCGGGGCTGTATAGGTGATATAAAGGAGATGTGCTGCCTTGTCAAAAAGAGTTTCTGTAGCTCAGATGGAGAGGCTGCAGAATCTCCTGTGAAATAAAGCTCAAAGTGCATAATCACTCTTTATGTAACCACAACACACTGACTCCATATGCATCTAAAAACAGGGAGCAGGTTTAATCTATGATGTAAGACGTCAGGGGAAGCATCTCTTCCAAGACAAATATCCTCTTATCACATGAAGCTCCCTCAGTACAGTCACTTATAAAACACAGTGAGTCTCTGTATTTACTCTGTAAGGAAACAGAAGTATGTTTTCATACTTAAGTTAAACATTTATTAAAGATTTCAGAGGAAGCTTACGTTGATGGACGCTTAGCTTCTAACAAGTTGTACTTCCTGTACGGCTCAGAGCCGCTTTGTAGCTCATTTCAGCGGTAAGCAATATTCAATCCCAGGGAGAAAGAAAGTTGGGATCTGATGAACTAGAGCACTCAAGTGATGGTTTTCTTACTTTTCCACTCACTGTTTTGGTGTTTCCCACTGCAGGTTTTTCCCTGGCTGGCCCCTCCACCACCCCACGGAAGCGTCAGGTGCGTTTCTCAGCCCGCCATGACATCATCCTTCTGCGGGAGGTTATCACCCAGAACCCCTTCGCCTCCAAAGAACCAGGTGAGTCCTGTTCTGTGAGGGGACTGCAGCAGCTCCTCTACAGGCTGTAATATAACACCTGTGTGTGTGTGTGTGTGTGTGTGTGTGTGTGTGTGTGTGTGTTGTCATGGTTCTCCTCAGGGCGGATGTGGGCCCGTGTGGGTGAGATCATTACCTCAGCCCTTCAAGATGAAAGCTTCGAGGTGGATGCCAGAAGGTGCAGGGAGCGCACCATGCTGCTGCTCGACTACTACAAGAAACAAGACTTCCCCAGTCTGCGCAGGTTAGTTCAGAGGAATCAAACACATGACAGTGTTTCCTCTACTGGTCAAAGCAGCTTCATGTGTTCGAGCTATCAGCTGATTATGGCCCTGTGCTGATAGAGATTGTGATATAATTAATGTGGCATGAGCTGACATTAATCAACTCACTGCTGACGTCTACTCCACCTAGCTGCTGACTCAGAGGAGAGGTTTTTTTACGGGCAGATGAAATCACCTGTTGAACAAACTTTGACTTGTTTTCATGTGAGAGAAAACAGTGCATTCTGGGAATTGTTGTTTCAAAAATCTGCCCTTATTTTTCCAATCAGTGCAACTCTAGTTAGAACTTATCTAAAAAAAAGAGATGTTTTTAAGATAATGCATTTGACCCACTGCACAAATGTTTTATTTTATTTATAGCTACTTCTCAATCTAGAACAACCTTTATTGTATGTACATAACTTTGCATAAATATATATATATATATATATATAGATATATATGACCAACATGCTGCTGTACAGGATGGCTGCCAACAAAGTTTGTTGTGTTCCTAAATACAATGACAATACAGCACCTGTCCTATCCTATTTGTCAATTTATTTTAATGGTTGGTAGTATTAAAAAGTACCAAAGCTTCAGATAAACAAACAGATCTTCAGCCTTTTCTAAAGAGAAAAAGAGAGAGCGCTTAACCTAAACTGCACAAAGGTTTGCAGAGGAAGAGTCAGTGAAATGTTTGTAGCAGCTCGTAAACCCAACATTCAAACTGCAGAATGTAGTGTTTACATTTACTGCTTGTACCTACACTGCAAGCTATGTAGTGTTTACATTTACTGCTTGTACCTACACTGCAAGCTAACGCACGCTAGCACAGGAAGCAGAAAAACTCCACAATCAAGGGTGAAAGCCAACACAAGGTTCACCCTCCGCTTGCTGTTTCACTTCTTTATGATTCGATTTTTATCGTCTTTGCTGCTACGTCCACGTCCGTCACATTCACTGCTTTGAATGGCGTCCAATCGCTGATTTGTATCCTCTCCTAAAGTCACCTGCGCGCTCTCATTGGCTGGAGGAAACACACCAGCTAGCTCACCACTCAGAAACGTTGCATGTCAACCAAAACAGTAAAAATCCAGTCAGAGGACAGAGTCTCTGCAGACACAGTCACCACCACACAAAAAACAAGAAACGACCCTCGAGTGGGTTGATAAGTTCTTCTCTTTTTGTTTCTGTGTTATTGAAAAGAGGTGTCAGCGTCCTTTAGATTTTAACTAGTGTCATTTGTGTGTGTTTGAACCCAGGTTTGGAACAGAGAGGTTGTACGCCCAGAAGGAGGATCTGCTGCACGAGGTTCTGGAGCTGGAGGCGGAGAAGGGGCTCCTGGTCAGCGGGGAAAGCACAAAGTACCAGGTGAGTGTTACAGTAGGTCAAGCTGTGTGTTTCCAACAGGTGCAAGAAATGTGTTTTTGGCACCTGTGAGCACAGAACTGAAGTTCCTCTGGGCGCTGATAGCCTGCTGGTTGTGTCACACACATCCTCGGTCTCGGCCCTTTGCTGTATTTCATCCCCTGCTCCCTTCTCCCAGTGCTTCCTGTCACACTTTTACCACTTTAAGTTTACTCCAACAATTTATACCTCTATTGGTAACACTCTTATTGCCCTCTTCTTGTGTGTGTGTGTGTGTGTGTGTGTGTGTGTGTTAACATATTCTTGACTTTATCCGCTCCAGGAGGACGAGCTGAGAAAACGAGCTGTAGAAGAACTAACTCTCCCAGAGCAAGACAAACCCAACATCACGCTCACACACCCTGCAGGTAACGTCATCACTACTCATTATAGTTTCACTACCAATAGATCTGTCCTCTGGTTGAGTTAAAGGTTGTTTAATTAGAACTCCCAAGATGGCAGAAAGATCGACAAAGAGTCCAACACTATAAAGACCTTTTTTTCCTTTATATTAACACAGCATGTGATTGGACTTATTCACAGAATCAGTGAACGAGTGGAGAGGAACATAAAAGAGTATGAAGCAGCTTCATGATGTTCACAAAGATCACATCTTCCCTGTCTTCCATGTCTTACAGTTTGTCTTCTTATTTGATTTGTTTGGTTCTGTTTCTATTTTTTTTTTTCTATTTGATTTATTTTGTTCTGCATAAATTTACAGAAATGTGAAAAGAGGAATCACTCCATTGTCTTACCACAAATGAACAATGTGTACAAATCTCTGCGAATGTGTGATTCTAAATTTAAAAAAAATAATAAGAAGAAGAAAAAAGAAACCTCTTCCTGATCGTTCACACGCGGGGAATTTTCCTCGATATTTCCTGCTGCATTCACACATCGACTCACCCTGACTTAACGCCTACTTTTACGAGAGGGTAAAAGTCTAAATAAAAACAGTGTGTTTGCGTTCACACATGCAGCTCTGCCTGGAAATTTCAGGACATTTTCAGGGAGTGTGGAGAGTCTTTGATAAATCAAATGTGAACAGTGTGCAGTTCAGCCCGTGTAAGAAGAGAGAAGAGAGAGAGTGATTCTTCTTGAAAAAAGAGACTCTGCTGGAGAATGACAAATAAAAATCAGCTCGTGTGTGAAAGTCTTTCCTACAACAAATTCCCCTCTGCAGCTCCATGGATGTGTTTTTCTTTCTACAGCTGATTGTTGTATTTACTTATTCGTTTGTATCACTGCAGAACCAGAAGAAGAGCGCGAGGCGATGGCGGAGCGCGAGGCGATGGCGGAGCGCGAGGCGGTCGCAGAGCTGTCAGCGGCGCCCATCGCCAAGCGGCCGTGTCAGTGCTGCTGCCAGACCTACTCGGAGATCCTCAGCTTCCTGGAGAAACGCTCGGAGGCGGAGCAGCGGCTGCGAGAGGAGGAGCTTGCCCTGCGCCGAGAGGAGCTGGAGATTCAAAGGAGTAAAAAAAAATATGTTGTTTTGTTCTTTTTGAAATTCAACCCTTTGTAAACAAGGGAAATACAGAACATTTTCCCCTTCTGAGTATTTCTGTTTTGCAGTCTTAAAAAAAAAAGATCTATGAAACAGATAAGAACAGATAAGACAAAATCTTTTTTTATGAAGTTCTAAAAGTCTGTCGTGAAGGAATGTAGTTTCCTGATCTTAAAAAGGAGGAAATGATCACTGAACAGTTTTCTGTTGTCGTACTCAAAAGGCCTTTTTTAAAGATTGAATTTCTCTTCCTTCTCAGGTAAGATCGCTCTGGAGAGGGAACGTCTGGGCGCCGACAGGAAAGAAAGGGAACGCCGATTTGAGCTAGAGAGCCAGGAGCGGCAGGTCATCTTGGACCTCCTGAAGGAGAAGGTGCTGAAAGGCTGACATCTTGGGGGGGGGGGGGGGGGGGGAGTCAAGCATGAAAGATTGGAAAAATAAAAACGAGGGCGATGTCACTGAAGAGAGGAAGAAACACGAGGAGCGCGTGGAGGGAAAGGACCGACTGCTGCAGGAAGGTGAACCTGGTGAAATAACCAAACAGAATCTGATCAAAGTGGTGACACGTCTTTTCAAAATGAAGGGCGAGGATGCAGGATTAACTTTGAAGATCTTAACAAGCTGCAAGTTCACAACAATTTCAGGTGCACTAAAGTATGTATGGAATGATGCACAACTCCTGAGAGCGTCCGGGCAACATTTGCCTACAGCAGCTGTGCAAAGCTGATCCATATCATTCCCAACAGACGCCCTCTGCATCTGTGAGGATTCAAAACGCTGTGATTACTTCAGTGTCGCCTCAGAAGAGGAATGCACAATAAAAGGGTGTGGACTCGTATCTCTCCATGAAGGTGTGGTGATCCACTTAGTTTCACTGCCAAACAGGTTCATAGTGTACCAGGATGATCGGCTGCACAAAGCAGGAACATGCTTTTAGGTTTTATTCGTCCTGTTCCAACTGTAAGGAACTCTAATGTTTGTTAGATCAGGTAGGAAAATAGTAGAAATAGCCGTATTTTCTTAAAAGGATTAACATTAAAGGAGTTTTTAACTGGTTATGAAACAGGCTGACATCAATTTTGAGGACTCTGTTTGACCTAAAAAAAAAAAAAAAGCAAACAAAACCTTAAGCATAGAAATTTTTTATATAGTGATTTTAAAAGTCTGAACATGCTGTGAGGGGGAGGGGGGGATAGGTGGCAGAGAAGGTGAGTTACAGCCAAGCGGAAACCTCCGGTCTTGAAAAATGAAGCCAATGCGGAAGTGTAAAATCCTGCAGTTTGTCAAGTGTCTGCTTAAGGCTGGCTCCAGGAACACAGGAAGTCACATACGTGCTATCCATAGTTAGGTAGCTGACCTGATTGACAGGTGAGCTCGATGTAACGGTTCATCAAGAGGCTTAAAACCCGCCTCAGCTCCAGATCTCAGCCTGTCGTTAAGTTGAATGAAAGTTAGGCTGAGACAGGATTTCCAACACGGAGGCTGCTGATGATGATGATCCTCTGGAACCCCCCTGCAGGAACAGATGGGTGACGTCACTCAGGCTTAATTTATTGATATTTACAGTCTGTGGTTACAGCACTCTGCAGCCTTTTTTTACATCTCCAAAGCGAAGATATCCAACGAGTGATACTTTTGATTGTTTCAAAGAAGTAGGATGAGATAAGAGGTACCAGTTTGTCCACAAGGGGCGCTCAAATCAACACAAACCAGGACCTCCTCACAGCAGCTGCAAAGTAATAGAGCAGTAGCAATAACATATTCATGTCCTTTAAAATGCTTTTTTTTACGTGAAGACAGTTTGATGGAAAAAAAAATAGAAATAGAATTATATTTTACTAACTGTGAATTCACTGATTAGAACTTTTGTACTGCATATTCTAAAGTTGTTAGTTTGAGTCCCTATTCTTCAGAACACAATGAAAGACTTGAAACATTTTTAACTGAATGTATGTTAAAAAAGTAATACTACATCTTAGAGACTTAACCTTAAGGAGCAATATGTAACTCTAACCCCCAGTGTTTGAAATGGGTACTGCAGTCTAAATTCTAAACATTGTCTGAGCTATCTGAGCTGCCCCCCTCCCCCCCTCTCTCTCTCTAGAGTGGATGCTCACTCAGGTCACCATGTGGTGGACTCTGAAGCTTCAGTGTTTATCCAGCTCTGCATGGGTCTGTAAACCTTTCTGTGTTCTAACCTCTCTCCATTTTTCAAAAGCATCTCCAATATTGATCCTAGTTTGAGCACGTTTCTGCTCGTGGAGCTTATTAGAAACATGCAGAGGCTTTTTAGGTCGGGTACAATCACTTCTATCTGAACCACTTCTCTTGCTCCGCTTCCATCGCTGCAACACCTGTTGACCTGATAACTGCTCTCATATCTGACAAACTGAGGGGCGTCCAAAACGGCCGTGAGGGGGGAGGTTGCCTTAAAAGCGCCTACCTTCTCTGGTCCAAACAAATCCAGAGCATTCAGGAGCAGAATCTAAAGTTAGAAGGAGGACATACTGGCTGCTGCATTGTTGTCAGAGAAGCCAGCACTTCAACATAGCATGTTTCCTTAATGTCTGATCAGATAGTAAGATACCTTTATCATCTCAGTCAGTAGATATCTTACATATTGCTCCTTTAAATACAAATTAGTCTGTTGTTTGAAATGAACGCATATGAAGACAAAATGTAAAACTAAAGAGTAAATTGTTTTTATTCTGCAAAGTATAATAAATGTAAGTTGACTGTGTGTGGATCTATCATGATCATTACATTATCTACATTTAACCTAATACGAAGTGTGACTGTAAATGATCCCTGTTTGGACTGTCTGAATTTTAATTCTGTACTATTATACAGGTCTGTGTTTCATTTCAGAGAAAATGATGTTGTAACTCCTTTGCACATTCACAATTTTTTTTACAAAATATGGTCAGCTAGAAGATATTGGAAACTTTATCACACTACTCAAAGGTAGATGAAGACACAGCCTCCAACATCAACCAACGTCAGTGTTTATCATTAATGAACTGATCGTAATACAACATGTTCTTCTCAATACTTTTTGTTAATTTGCTCAATAATTAAAAAAAGATGAATAACTTAGAGTAGGATACACTTTTAAACCAGTTTTGGTGAAAGCATTACTCAGATTATTTTACGGTTGTCTGTAATGTTTGATACTTTTTGATACCAGGTGTTAACAAGCGACACTATACAGAGGCTTTAAAACAACTTAAGAACTTCAGTCATACTTTTCAAACACAATGCTGCTGCCAGCCAGGAGTTTATTCTTTATTCTTCTGTACAGCACTTTGGTCAACTGTGATTGTTTTAAAGTGCTTAACAAATAAAGTTGGATTGGATTTCAGTACAACAGCTCATCAAACTCCTTAATGTCATGTTTTGTTTTCTTTAAAGTTGGGGGGAGGGGTCGTTGCCCTTTAATTACACGTCATGTGACCCGCCTGCAGTGGTCGGTCAAAGCGAAATTCCACACGCCCACTTCTGCGCCAATCACAGCCTGTGATTGGCTGTCCTCAACGTCACTCCCCTCACTTCACACGTCCAATCAACGACGTCCAGAGGAGGTTTTTTTAGCCTCCTGCTCCGCGACCGCATTGCTGCAAAGTTTTACTGAAGCTATTTGAATGCTAGCGGCGGAGTTGTTTTGATTTCGACCGAATAAGTTTGTGTTGCACTTTAGTTCGGTCTTGGTGGCGACATAAACCCGCTGTGTGTGTGTGTGTGTGTGTGTGTGTGTCTCAGCTGTCCTGTAGTCTGTTTTTCTTTTCTGTCGCTGCTCGATGGGGAGGAGGGCAGCACGAGTGTAGCCCGCATGCTCCTTTTGTTATTTACATTTTCACGTTAAGACTAGTAGTTTTATTTACTTCACGGTTGGTGATAAACTTTTTTTTTTGTTCGTGTTTATCGCTCAAACTTCTCTGAAGGATATATTTTTTTCTTCTTCTTGGCTGGAACGTTACCGAAACCCACGTTGTCGCCATAGCAACATGCCCATTCGGCGTTTCGGGGGTCACAGGTCACTGGTATCGCACTCTCACATCCCGAAGCTGTCGTATGGTTACACCAGGATGAATATCTCAAGAACTGGGTACCGAGTGTTTTCTGCCAACTCCACCACCGCATGCACCGAGCTGGCCAAGAAGATAACGGAGTAAGTTGTGTTTTTTATTTAAAGAGTTTATTTAACTGGTTTCGTCTTAATGTAAAATACAAAGTTAGTTTCATTCAGGTTTCTATCTCATTTACCTACTCTTCAGGCTTTTAGGGTTTAAACAGAAGCATTGGAAAGATACAGAAATAATCATACTAAATAAAATACAGAAATAATCATACTAAATAAAATATAGAAATAATCATACTAAATAAAATACAGAAATAGTCATACTAAATAAAATATAGAAATAATCATACTAAACAAAATATAGAAATAATCATACTAAATAAAATACAGAAATAATCATACTAAACAAAATACAGAAATAGTCATACTAAACAAAATACAGAAATAGTCGTACTAAACAAAATATAGAAATAGTCGTACTAAATAAAATATAGAAATAGTCATACTAAATAAAATACAGAAATAGTCATACTAAAAAAATACAGAAATAATCATACTAAAAAATACAGAAATAGTCATACTAAATATAAAAAATCATACTAAATAAAATACCGAAATAGTCATACTAAATAAATAATCATACTAAATAAAATACGAAATAGTCATACTAAATAAAAATCATACTAAATAAAATACCGAAATAGTCATACTAAATATAATAATCATACTAAATAAAATACCGAAATAGTCATACTAAACAAAATAATCATATTAAACAAAATACAGAAATAATCATACTAAACAAAATACAGAAATAGTCATACTAAATAAAAATCATACTAAACAAAATACAGAAATAGTCATACTAAATATAATAATCATACTAAATAAAATACCGAAATAGTCATACTAAACAAAATAATCATACTAAACAAAATACAGAAATAGTCATACTAAACAAAATACAGAAATTGTCATACTAAACAAATGTAAACTTTATAACCTCAATACAAATTAGAGACTAAATAAGAACAAACAATAAAGTGGGGATTATGATGCTGTCCTAAAAAACCTTGAGCTCTATCACTAGTTTAATTTCAGACGGTTACTGTGTTCCTCTCATATTGAGAAGAATGACCCGGCCAAAAATGAAACAGAATGACCGTGATCTAAAAACACTTACATGACATTAACATAAGCAGAGAGTAGACCATGTTATTCTTCTTTTCTCTAGTCCTTGACTGAAACAGCTTTATACTGCCATCAATGAGGGAGAAGCTCGAGTCCCGCTGGCTGTGTTGTTGTCAGAGCCGTGTTTACATGGACGGGACGGCCGGCTCCTCCCCTTGTGTATAAAAGCTGTTTTAGTCAAGAACTAGAGAGAAGAAGAAGAACATACTCACTGATTATTTGGATATCACTAAGTGTTTTTTAGTCATTCTTTGTCATTTGTGCAATATGAAGCTCGAGCTAACTAAAGAGCGCTAACATTATCCTGCTAACACAACAATGCAGACAACGCGAGTGTAGAGGGGTTGGAGGTGTGTCTCTGGAGGAGAGCGGAGGCTTCAGAATAGCAGAAGTTTCACCAAACAGCAGTTTGTTTTGGTTTCATGCTGGTGCGCGAGGGCGGCATCTACAGGATCAAAAAGCCGCACACTCTTCCTTTAAAATAAGAGAGACTGAGTCATGTTAAACGTGTGGTCTCAAAAAGTATTCTAGTATAGAGAATATCAACAACCTTACATTGTAGGAGATCTGTTTGTTACCGTAATCAGAGCTTCCATGTTTTTGGGGGAAAGTTATGGTCTAAGTTTGCCAATTAGAGTGTGTGAAGATTTATTGAATACATTTTCTTTGAGCTTTGCAAGTTTTCTTTGATCAAGTCCTCTTTAAAGACCCCACCCTTAATCAGCATCTTTTTAAGTGCAGATGAATAAATTCTACACAGTGAAGATGAAAGATATGCTTCATTAGATTACAAGTAATCCACATTTTTTCTTCCCTTGATGCCGGACATTCAAAGGACCTGTCATTGGGAATCATGGTGATGAAAGGAGTGTGTTGTGCAGACCAGTGCACATTTGAAACTGGATGTTATTATGCCACACAGACATAATTTAATGGGAATGACTCATGTGGCATTTAAATCGGACTTGGATAAGTAGAACAACAAGTGCAACCAGAAAGCAATGCAGCACAACAACATCCTGTTTGTTGTCCGTATGGAACCAATGATTGGTTGACTCAGATCTCTGCAAACACCAATATCTTCTATTGTTGGCTTACTGAATTCAGGGAGCACTGAGCAGTCATGTTTTTTTTTTCTCTGCCCTGCATACTTGTCAGAGAGCCAGGCAGAAGTTGCTTTGCTCGCACACAGTGAGAAGGAACAACTTTCTCTCTCTCCGTTCTCACTGGAAAGCTAAGCTGTTGTTTGGCAACATTGCAGAACGTGATTGGGAATTATTCTGCTTTTTTTTTTAGATATTTCTGAGGTACAAAGGTTAAAAAAAACATCACAAGCTCGCAGAACACGTTAATGAATACTTAAGTGAGTATTTACTCAGGGCTGCACATGGTGTCTGGACTGAGTGTAAACAACCCTGGCACTGATGCCTTATTTTTCTTTTTATTATGTGATTTAAAGCAAGCAGGACTCGAGCAATAATCTGAGCTGTCCATCCTGAGATGAATAGAAATATATACTCTTCCAAAACATGTGAAGCACGCCCCGTATCCCTTGATTTTCCCCTTCAGTGTGTAGTCATAAAGTATTTGTAAAGGATGATTGCACTGGATGAAACATTTGATAACAGTCGAGGGATGTAAACAGGTCGAGGCAGAATGTCATTCCTTGCCAGCGGGATCTCAGCTGTCTGTCCCGGCGAAAGGAGCCGCCCGTGTGTCACCGGGCCAAACCCTTGCTGCGGTTTTGCTTTCAGGAGCCATCAAGTTCACTCATCATAATAGGCAATGATATGTGGCTGTTAAGTATTAAAATTAAACAGCGTGATTTTCCGCTCGAGGCACCGCCGTGTTCATGGTGCCTGGGCCTGTCCTCACTTTGACTTGATGCAACAGGACCGCTCTGTACTCAGTCGCAGTCTCAACTTTGTTTCTGTCAAAGTACTTTTGTTGTTGGCTTCAATGTTTTCTATGCATTCAACTTTCAAGTCTATCTGAACTATCCCAGTGTGTGCTGGACTACTCTGATCTTGAAAACTGTCTGTTCCTGCTCGAGCTGCACCCTGGATGGCCACAGGGCACATATCAATCCTCGAGTCCTTTTATGTTGTCTCTTAGTTTTTCCTGTTTGAAGGAATGAACCAATTAACAGGCTTACAAAATAACAAAACAATGAAACTGTCATGCGGATGCATTTGAGAAGTTTTTGCATGCAAAGTGTGAATCCACTCCCTAGTTCCTTGTTATTTTTCTGAGCTGTAATATGCACAGTATCATTGTCATCATCATTTATTCAAATCCTGAAAAACTTGATTGAGGGAAAACTCTCCATTACATAATTTCCAAAAGAGAAGACAATGTAAAGTAATAAGTAAGAATAATTAGAAAATTAGATGAAGGGGAGCCGGTGGCCTGGCGGACGGTGTGCTCGTCCTGTGTGCAGAGGCTGTGGACCGCTGTGGTTTTGAATCTGACCTGTGGCTCCTTTCCTGCATGTCACTCCCCACTCTCTCTCTCTCTCCCCAGTTTCCGGCTCTGTCCACTGTCCTATCTCTCCAACGAAGGAAAAGCCCCAAAATCAATCTTTAGAAAACATATTTTTCGAAGAAATAAACAATTAAAATCAATAAGAAGACTCTAAGTCATATGATTCCTTAAAGTTTAGTTGGTAGGCAGAATGTATTTGCAGTAAAAGTTAATTGCTCAGTCAATAACATGTCAAAGCTCTATTAAAGCTGTCATACAAACAGCAGCATTATACACATGTTTGAACTGACAACATAAAGGTGTGTTTGTGTTTTAACACTTTGTGGTCTGTTTTCTTTTCCCAGACGCCTCGGAGTGGAGTTGGGCAAGTCAGTGGTTTACCAAGAGTCAAATAAAGGTACAGCTGATAAATATCAAGTCTTTCATTTCCACAGTGAAGTGGTGGTTTGTTGTCATGTGACTCAGATTCCAAAATGTTAATTTCTTTGTTTTATTTTCAGAGACAAGAGTGGATGTGAAAGAGTCCGTCCGTGGGCAAGACATCTTTATCATTCAGACCATCCCCAGGTGAGACAGAGAGATGGTGTGCTAATGTGTTCTGAATGTGTAAAATGACAAACACAACAAACTCTGTCTGCCTCCTCTGAGGTTTTCATCCTCCTCTGAGGTTTTCATCCTCCTTTGCGTTATTGTTTTCATCTCACAGCTCAAAAATGTCATGCTGGATTAACTCTGATCAGCATGTAGCAGCAATAGCAACCTTTAGGGCGCACTCACACTAAGTGAAGTTTCTCCCATACCACGCTGAAGCATAATCATCCCCCCTCCCCAGTCCCCCGCTGGCCTGCGCTTACATCGCTCCGGGCCCAACCAGGCCTCAGCACAGTTTCCATACTAACATCGTCACCATACGTCTCGTGCTGCCTGAGCGCAGCATCGACACTCTGGGACCTTTTTTCTCCAAGTGAGGAAATAGAATATTTGCAGTCTGCATAATCCGGTTGAAATGAATTTAGGCCAACCATTTTAAAGTGCTCTAAGATCCGATTAAAGTGGAAAGTTTACATGCCTCATGTATGGAGGCTGTAGTCCTCAAAGCGGACGACCCGGGTTTGAATCCCACCCCCCCCTCTATCTGGTTTCCAACTCTATCCACTGTCCTATCTCTCCAAAGAAGGCACAAAAATCCCCCAAATATATATCTTTAAAAAAACCCACCATGGTCAGTTATCATTTTGACATTTAAGGTAGCTTGATTGATTAACGTCAACTCATGCACTGAGTAACATGGAAGAACACACTCCCAATTAAATGTTATGGTAGCTGTCAAATGCTGGTTGGCCTAGTGGTTATATCACATGCTCGGTGGTTCTCCAAGTGAGGAGCACAGGTTTGACTCCGGCCCGAGGCATTTTTGTGCACATATCATTCCTCACTCTCTCGTTCCTCCGTCTTCCTCCACAATAAAGGCCCCAAAAAGTTAATCTTAAATAAATACTTCTGTGTCAGCTTGCATGGGAGGTTTGAGTCCAAAAGGCAGCTTATGTTTTTTCCAGAAGGAGAGAGAGAGAAGGATTAAAAAAAAAAAAAAGCTATAGCCACTTTACTTCTCCGGTTTAGTCCTCTGTTTTTATCCTTGATCATCAGCCACACAGAGAAGCACCCTCTGGATGATAACTAAGGGTTCACAGGAGGGACATTACAAATTTGAGCCTCTGTTATTGAGTGTGTGCAGATCCTGAAGGCCACTGACCCGCCTGTGTGACATCTCTGGTTTCAACGAGCTGTCAAGGCCAAAGTGGCAACAAACAGTTTCTTGTTACATCAACAGCACGTCGCCTTTGTAAAGCGGTGGAACTGTCCCAGTCAGCAAAATTAACTAACCCCTAATATCTGGCCCACATGCTCAAAAAGTAAAAAGTCCAGTTTATGTGGTTCAAAACTTCAGAAGTCCAGAAATCAGTATTATCCTGATCCCAACAGAGGGCTGGATAAGAGGCAAAAAAGAATAAAACGATTCACTCAGCCGAGAAATGAGAAGTTGAGAAATACAACATTTATTTATATATATATATATATATATATATATATATATATATTTAGGGCATTTTTTACAGGATTGAGACAGAGTTAAGACCAAGGCAGGGTGAGACTGAGACAAAGCCTTAAATAGCCATAAATATCACCGAAAAATCCCTCACTTAAACCGTAACACCGGGATGGTTTTCGGCCGTAACCGGAGGGATAAAAATCAAACTATGCATGAATTGAGGTTATTTGTTCTTTTAGAAAGAGACATTTTTTTTTCTAATCACAGTAATGACGTGGAAAAATAACCCATCAGTGGTGGTCTTGATTTAAAATCTGGAGTACACCTAGTCCAAGACTGAGACCTTCAAAAAGTGATCTCGAGACCAAGACCGATTTAGAGTACTACAACCCCAGTGTGAGCAACGGGATACACCTGAAACCCTCCATGGGATGAATATAGTGTCTGTTGGTCTATGAAAAAAGCTGACTAACAAATCCAGATCATTGTCCTCCTCTTTAAACCATTTGAAGAAGCTTGCCCTGCAGATTAGGGATCTTCATTAAAGACGGTTCTATGAGCTACCTGTCTAACTTCTTCCAGGTGTTAAATTAGAGCCAGACCTCCACATTAGTGTCACGTTTAGTAACGCAGGTGGTTTCGTGTTTCTTTTGCTGATCCAATGTACAACAACAACAACAACCTGCAGGTTTGGCTTGTGGTTCAAAGGAAGAGCTGGTTTAGGTGGAGTCTAGAAAATTGGTCATATGAAAACAATGGGAGTAAAAAGGTTTGAGCCCGACACTTTGACAGCGTGTTTATGATATGATAACCTCCAAACACCTCATCTGTCTTCACCTCTTGAATCGTCTCTCAGCTCAGCGTCTGCAGACTCTAACATCTACATTAATGCTCTAACTGAACGTGTGTTGTCTCTCAGAGATGTCAACACGGCCATCATGGAGCTGCTGGTCATGGCGTACGCCCTGAAGACGTCCTGTGCCAAGAACATCATCGGGGTCATTCCCTACTTCCCTTACAGCAAGCAGTGCAAGATGAGGAAGAGAGGATCCATCGTCTGCAAGCTGCTCGCCTCCATGTTAGCTAAAGCTGGTAAAGACTGCGGTCATTTTGGCTCCTCTAAAACCACAAATAAACAATAGACTGATTCACATCTTGCATGACATGTCCCTTCCTGTAGACACAGAAACTACTTTCAAACTAGCTCTAATTATAATTTGGGTGTGACAGCTGATGAGAGCAGAGCTGTTGACTCTAAAAATAATGACTGTCAATCAATAATTATTATTTAATTGCTGGATTTCAGCAGTGAATACACAGTTTTAATGTTGATTGAAATGTCAACATTTTGCATTTCTAAACGGTATTTGTCGTGCTTTTATTTTGAATTTTTGTACCGTCATAAACTCCTCCTGTTTGCATACAAACCTGCTTTTATTTTGAAAGACGATAAGGAACTTGCCGATAGATCGAAGATTACAAAATGAACTTATCTGCGACAAATAAAAAGATCTCATTTCAAGTCAATAAAAACAAATAAAGTGAAGGTAAATGTTTGCTGTCATACAGTGGATATTACTTATGACTCGTCAGCTGAGCTTTATGGGAGTTTTTCAAAGTAAAATGAGAGATTCAAAGGTGCAGCGGGGTAATTCTTTTCTCTCAGTGTGACTACAGGGAGACGCTGAGGTGGCTTTCCTACAGTGCGCCTAAAGGGACAAAATAGCACGTCATTAATGCGAGTAGAAAACACTATCGTGAAAGTTCTCTGCTACGTGTAATGGCCGTATTCACAGTGTCAACGAAACAGCAGAGAAGAACAGAGCAGTGAGCAGAAAACATAATGAAGCACCCCCCCCCCCCCCTCCGACTCTTCTCACACTGAATTTCCTGAATGTTTCCTGCTGTGTTCACACATCCCCTCCCCCCTGACTTCATGACTGCAGATTTCACCCTGGGGCTCACAGGAAAAAACGTCGGAGTGAAACATTCTGCTGTTTACATTTACACATTCATCTCATCTCAGATATAACAGGAAACCTCTTGAGGTGTTTATGCATGTGTGAAAACAACCTTATACTACTTCCTGATTGTAAAACACAGAAGAGTTTGTACAAGTTTAGGGAAACATCTCGATATGTGTTTAGCCTTTTTAATGTAACAGCTACACATCATGACTGACGGTACGGATGGCCACTGTGACCGCGCCCTTATTCTCACATTCTTCCATTTCAAGCCAGGCAGCACTCTGGCTCTTAAATCTGTGATGGCGTTTGTGGTTTGCAGGTCTCACTCACATCATCACCATGGACCTGCACCAAAAAGAAATCCAGGGATTCTTCAACTTCCCCGTTGACAACCTGAGGGCTTCCCCCTTTCTCATCCAGTACATCCAGGAGGAGGTGAGGCTACATCACACTGAACAGGCACGGTGCCATCGCAAAGATGGCCTTGTGCATAGAAGACAAATGTTTTGAATGTAAGATCTCATGTAATGATCACACTTTTCTCTTCCTGCAGATCCCAGACTACAGGAATGCTATAATTGTTGCAAAGTCTCCTTCAGCTGCCAAGAGGTAAAAATACAAATCTTAAACACTCAGAATATTTTAAAGTACTTAACATCTCCTGCCCTCGTCTTTCTTTAACTCTACACTTTAAGCGTGCTCCTTTCTTTCCATATCACCACCTTTTGTCCCTTTTAAGTCCGTCCAAGCTTCTGTGCCAACGTCTTTCTGCTCTTTCTCTTTCTCTGCCTACGTATCTGTTTGTGTTTGTGTTGGTGTTGTGTCTGTCAGTTCCTTTGACTTTTGTGTGACCGCGTGTCTGTCTGTCTCAGAGCTCAGTCCTACGCTGAGAGGCTTCGACTCGGGCTGGCGGTGATGCACGGCGAGGCCAACCACTCAGAGTCAGACATGGCCGATGGGCGACAGTCTCCCCCCTTGTCCCGCACCACCACAGGACACACCGGCCTGGAGCTGCCACGTAAGACACGCAATATATCAGCTCTTCTGTCTTTACTTTTAGTTTCATCTTCTTCTGTAACCTCTCACATTTATTCAGAGATGTTTTTTTTTTTTTGGTGGTGTGAGCAGTTTCATGACTTGATTCTTTGATTGGCTGAATAAGATTACAGGGTCTGAAGTTAACCTTTTGACTCACCGGCCACGCTGTTGGTTAGATGAAAAAATCCCCTGCCAAACGTATTTGACTGTCCAAAGTAAAGGGTTAGTGTAAATCAATTGTTTGGAGAGCTGGCTGACCCTTTGTAAATGTCATCACATATTAGCTATTTACTTAGCCTGATGCTAACACTAGCTAGAAGCAGACATATTGCAGCAGGGTAAGTCATGTCCTGAACATGGTGTGTGTGTGTGTGTGTGTGTGTGTGTGTGTGTGTGCAGCATGCCCCTGCAAAGCCCCAACATGCAGGAGAAAGAAGCTGCAGCTACAACAAAATGTGGTTAAAGCTTTAAAAAATGAAATGACTTAATTTGGTACAAAAATGCACCTGACATAAAATCTTCCTGCTTTTGGTGCTTGGCAGGCATGGATCTCAGACAACCTTTTTATGCTCCTGTATGCAGCCTGTTACTTTATGGTTTCCAGAAAGCTTTGTTGCTAACAGCTCAGTTTGAGTGCTTGAATTTGGATCCACTCATTTGGACTGCTTTAGACCCAGAGTTCACTGGAGAGTTTATATATCCGGTCTGGCCTGGGAACGCCTCAGAATCCCCCAGGAGTAGCTGGAAAACGTTGCTGAGGAGAGGGACATCTGGGGAAACTTACTTAGCCTGCTTAACCAGCGCAGGATAAGTGGAAGATAATGGATGGATGGATGTACTTTGGATCTATGTGGTCAGCAGGATCTGTGACGATGAGCCTCACCATGTGTTTGAAGCTTCACAGAAATCATAAAACAAAGTTTTTATGCCACAAATTCAGAAACAAAATCACTCAAATGCTTTCTTTATAAGTTCAAAATGCCTGTGTTGATCCTCACTCATGGATCTCTAAAACTGTGAATAACGGAAACTCCTATGATCCCATGACCAGAGACCATGCTGACCCTAATGTTTGACTCCCTCTCTCACACAACGTCAGCTTCCTGAGCATGTTTCAGGTCAGGTCATCCCTGCCTCAGGCCGTGTGTTAGCCAGCTGTGAAATACTGCAGACTGACTGACACCGCTGTCAGGTTTATTTCCTTCCTCCTCCTCCTTCTCCTCATCTTCCCCATTTTACTCTCTTTTCAACTCAATCTAGCTTATCTCCCCTTCAACTTGAAAATGTGTTTCTTGTCAGCCTTATCTCTTTGCCAGCAGCAGGAGCTGAATCCTTTCCATTCAAGGCGTTTCTCTCTGCCTTCACTTGTGCATTGATTACATAAAATGTGAGTTTATCAACAGGAAGGCTTCTCGCGGCTGAGTGCTGACTCTCTGGGATCTAGACACTCCTCCACCTCAGAGGAAACTCTGGAGAGTTGTTGATTTCACTGAATTCTCTGTAATGGTTTGTCTGTTGTTTTGTCAGATGTGGTCATTAATATTTCCTGTTCCGTCCTTTTTTCTCATGCCAACGCAGGCGGCAGACATCATGTCCCATTCCCTGGGATAGAGCTCCCAAGTATGATCAGAACACTTGAATGGCTTCTTGTTTCTTTTTGGTCTCACTGCATGGAACGACAGGATGAGTCACTGAGGGCTTCCTTTAAACGTCCACAAATCCAACAATAAAAGTGACAGGAGTCCAAAAATAGATGATTGCTGCATCGACTTTTAACATGACCTCCTTAAGGCCTCATGCCCTGTCTCTATGACAACCGTCTGTTGACAACAGCCGCTGTATGACCGACACTGCTCTCTTTACTTTTTTTTTCTTTTTTTTTTTTTCTTTGAGATTTTATATTTTCCGATCAGACTCGGAGCAAAGAGGATTAGAGTACAAGACACGGTCCATAGGTGGGGAAACTCTGGGGAATATCATACATGTGGAAAAGAGTGCTGGTGACATCAACAGCACCTTTCTGGAAAGTTGAAAGATTTTCAAATTGAGTTCTCAGAGCGGCCGCACAAAAAAGGTGAAGCACTCGGGGCGCTGCGCTTTGTGCAAACGCTCCCTCCTCAACTGAAAACAACTGAAAAAAGATGCTGGTGCTCAGAAAAAAAAGGCTGAATCTGGTTGATTCTTATTAGATGTTTTTTTTTGTCGCACGATGTCAGGAGGCTTGTCAGTGCAAACTAAAGTTTTCAAGACCTTGATAATTTGTTTCGCTCTATACTTTTTTGATAGCGTGCGATTCAAAGCGATACAATCTCTGATCTGTAGAATCCAAAAAATACCAGAGTTTTAAAAAAACAAACCCCACCAGATCTTCAGTCGTATTTTTAACCCACAGCTGCTGCGAGAGAGAGAGAGAGAGAGAGAGAGCGAGCGACAATGGTCCTTTCAAATTCACAGGTCAGCAAATACTGATCCTGAAGTCCTTTTGGCGTCTCGTAAAGATGTTTTAGTCTCTTACAGACAGAGAGCACAGGAGGTCATTAAGGTGTCTGAATTGCACAAATACATCGGCAACATTTCGGTGCTGAAACGTTGCCGATGTATTTGTGCAATTTAAAAAGTGTGCAAAGGTTTGCCTGCAATTTTTGTTAATTAAAAATAGAACACCAATTCCATTGGGGTGCTAAGGACTGCAACCGCTATCATTACTGTTTGATTTGTTCTAGAAACATTTGGAAGTTTAAAATTCAGGTATTGTAAGAAACCTCGTGCACACACCAACAGAATTGAAACACTATGCACATGTCCCCATCCAGCAGGTTAAGATCCATGTGTGCCTCTTCCTGGAGTTTAAATCAAAGCTGCCTTGAATATTGATGGCATCATTATTGATTTTGAGTATTTCACACGCTCAGCTCAGCTCACAGCTGACGTTACAGATGCATTACAGATGCATTACTCTTCTTCTCGGAGCCTGCAACGCGAGGGCTGCCCCTCTTTTCTCCTTTAATTCATATTACGATGAGTCGGAACCTGCCTGACCCCGGCTTGTCCACCCTACATATGAGACTTTATAAGAGATGGCCGTACTGTCCTGATAGAAGCACACTGGGTATTTGTTTTCCCCTAAAGGGTTGATGTTTTTTGTTGGAAGCCCTCAGACTCACATCCTCTCTGTTGAAATGAATTTGTTTTCTGTGAAGTCAGAATGATTCCTTGACTGTGACATGAACAACGAGGCTCATGTTGTCTTCAGTTTTTCAAACCCACAAGAATCTGATTATTGGAAATTCAGGAGGGAAAAGAGCCGAATGGAGACATGAAGAGAATGGCGATCTCATTTTGTTCCTCGCTCTGCTCAAGTCTTCTACGCGAGTGTGAAGTTACAAACTAATTGGCCCTCTGTTGATTATGAAACGGGAGATTTCTGCTCCGCAAGAACTAAAAGAAAGCGCTCCATTCATGATCTTTTCCCAAATTCTGCTCATGTTCCCATTTGCATGTTTCCCTCTTCGACAGGTTTCGAGCTCAGAAACGGCTTCATTCTCTGTTTTGTTTTTTTAAAGTCCTTGCACAGAGGCCTTGCTGTACGGTCTTGTGTTGGATTTTGGGAAACGGCCTCTGAGCGTGTCTTGCTGTTGTTTGGGGTATCGTGGTTATGCAGTTTCTAGACCAGAACTGTTCCTTAGTTGAAATCTGTTCAAACACCTGAAGCATTTCATAGTTTTTAGGGTAAAGGAGACTGAAATGTTTCGTCCTCAGTATAATAATCTGTAAAGAAGAGTGTTTGATAAGATTACAACTAATGATCTCTGCTGGTCTGTGGTTCATAAAGGAGGCTCAGCTCTACACCCATTAGTCCATCCACCACCATCAGGGGTGGAGATTTAAACCCTGGTTCCACATTTCTTACAACCCGAAAACCTTAAATGTTTCATCTTACTGATACTGCTATCAAGACTCACCTGTCCTGTAATATAACATAAAAAGTAGAGGTGGGGGAAAAAAACGAGTTTCTTCTTCTAAGATTTAAAATCGATTCTCAACTTCCAAAAATCTATTTATTTATTTTAATTAAAAAAATGTTTTGGGCTACTCGGTGACTCCCTGTTAAGTGCTAAAGCTAGCTCTTTAACTTCAGGAGAATGACAAATAGAGCAACAAGAAATTCAGCCAGTCTCACAGATGACTGGAGGAGATCCTGAAGTCTTTACTCATTCATACATAGACTTTGAATCCAGAATCATTTCGAATCGAAAATCTATTCTGACTCGCATCTTGAGGCAGCCAAAGATTTCCAGCCCTAATAAAAACACACAAACATGGCTCGTCTAATAAAGTTGTTGAATTTCCAGCCGACAGGTATTTAACCTCTGGTCGGTTGTTTGAAGGAAGCAAAGAGCTTTAAAGTTTGGCTGCATTTCACCAAAACAAAATGTGCATGTTGCACGATCAGCAAGATATTTCTTTCACATCATCATCCTCATGCAGCTCCTTCCACTGCCTAAAGATAGGACTGGGCGACATATCGAGTTTTTAAGATGTTTTGATTTATTTTTAAACGACATACAGGGTCAGACAACATCGTTAATATCGATTTAGCTTACGTTGCATTAAAATGATGTCTGCTGTAGAGCGGCCTGTTCACCTGTTTCTCATCTCACTGTCTCCCTCGTCACAAGGACACATTTTTTTTAAATTGAAGTTAAGGAACATTTTTTTATTACTTTTTAATTTCACAAACATGTTGTTTATTTTTCATACATTTTCGACGTCTGGATATATACGGAGTATCACCATTCAGCTAAACGATATTGAGACATGAGTCCAGCCCTACCGATGAATTGTTAAAACTTTGTCAACTCCAGATGCTGCTGCTGCGTCAGCACACTGATCCTCCAACTCCACACAAACTGTAGCAAGTCCTGTTTATTAAAAATATTATTCCAATGTTGAAATGCATGAGTCAGCAGCTAGATAGCAAACGAAACGAGGTGACATAAGGTTACGATATGAGGTGATCAAGGCCAGGTCATTTAATTAACTTTGAGAACTAAGAGGTTAAATAAAATGATCTCTACTCAGTAACAGTTTGGATCAAAATTAAGTTTGTCTCGATTTCAACTAAATAGAAAGTATCGATACAGAGTCTTGATAGTGGTCTCAATTTTAAAAAAAAGAACCCAGTCCCTAACCATCATACTACATGACTGATCCGGTGGTGGATGGAAGCTGGTTGGTGTAGAGCTGTCCTGCATGTTTGTTTGTCAAATCCTCTGTCACCAAATCTCCCTCTTTTTGTATTTGATTTGATTTACCTCCCTTGTAGAATCCGATGGAGGTTACAGGTTAGAACCGAACTCTTTTACAGCAAAGTCATTTTCCTCCTTCTGTGTCTTTCAGTAATGATGGCAAAGGAGAAGCCGCCCATCACTGTCGTTGGAGACGTCGGAGGCCGAATCGCCATCATTATTGTAAGTCAAAAACAAATCAGCCTCTCTTATTAACTCATGATCTGCGGCGCTGTGGTCCTCCAGACTGGCGGCCCGGGTTCGAGTCCCACCTGTGGCTCCTTTCCTGCATGTCATTCCCTACTCTCTCTCTCTCTCTCCCTGATTTCTGACTCTATCCACTGTCCTATCTCTCCAGTTAAGGCACAAAAAGCCCCAAAATAAATCTTTAAATAAAATAAAAACTCCTGATTTGCTGTAAGACGCAGTGTGAGGGATCCCTCTTTGTTGTGGTAATCTAACTGCCAATTTCCACAGACTCTTGTGTGCGCTGCATATTGACATAAAGTCTTCCAGCAGCTTTAAAATAAATGTGTAATTCCTTTAAACTGCGACTCACTCACTCTGTCAGGACGACATCATCGACGACGTGGACGACTTTGTAGCAGCTGCAGAGATCCTGAAGGAGAGGGGAGCCTACAAAATCTACATCATGGCTACACACGGTCTGCTGTCGGCCGACGCCCCCAGACTCATAGAGGAGTCTGCTATCGATGAGGTAAGGCACGGTGGAAAATGTCAAGGTCAAAGGTCAACATCAGGACAAAGTTCATTTGGTCAAAAATAAACACTTCTGCTAATGTCTTAAACGCTCGTTTTGTCTCTTTCAAAGAGTGTTTCATGACTTTTCTGTGCTTTGTTTTGTGTCAGGGAGCTGTGTGAACTTAAACTTCACCAGACTTCACTTTAAACCCAAATCATATGTGCTATTGAGACATTTTTAAAACTGAAGACACACAAACTTAGGCCCCGCCCACTCCAAACACTAACCATTTTCTGCTTTGTTTGTTATTTTAAACTACTCAAACATCTGACTGAAATGAATTCATGCTGGTGTCTTGCGCCCCCAGGTGGTCGTGACCAACACTGTTCCTCACGAGTTGCAGAAGCTGCAGTGTCCAAAAATCAAAACCGTGGACGTCAGTATGATCCTGGCTGAGGCCATCCGACGCATCCACAACGGAGAGTCCATGGCCTATCTGTTCCGCAACATCGCTGTGGATGACTGAGGCATCACACACACTTCAACACTTAACATTCCTGCTGACATTAGTGAGCACACACACACACACACACACACACACTCTGATGACCAAGACCTCAGGTTGACTCCAGCCTGTGCTTTATTTCCTCCTGTTTGTTCTGCTGTTACACACAGAGGCTGCTCTAGCCGTATGTTACAAATGAAAAAGCTTCATTTTCTCTGTTACTTAATGGGACTGCACCGACTCTACAAACTGTTACACTTCACTGACTCTGTCACCATTTGAAAAACATAAATACCACAAACATAATGTATCAAGCAGCCCTTTGAGTATGCTGCAGAATCCAGTAAATAAATCAGTTCTTCTGGAGTCAGAGACCTCCTGTCATTCTTTGGGATGCATGTTTAAAGTGACTAATGCTTGGGACTACTTTATACCTGCTGGCAGAGATGAAGCGGTTTTGCATTTTTGAAGTCTGAAGATGTTTCTGGAGCTGTCAGAACATGTGGCCTCACTTCTGACACTCTACTTTCAGTCACAGTTTCAGTCACAGCTGCGGCTTCTTGCTTTATGAAGCGATGGGTGTAAAATGTAAAACAGTGTTTTTCAGCTGCAGTTTGCTTATTCACATTAAACGGGACAGCACCCGTTAGCGTTAGGAAATACAGGACGGTGTCAGAGGAAAGTTAGGTAGTGCACGCTGGGTGTCGGGGTGCCTTCATTTCCTCCTGTGAGTACATCCTGTTACATGTAACCAGGAGAAAAGGTCAGTACAACCTTTCGTGTGCCACCTGAAACGACCAGATTAGAAAAGTTTCATGTTTGAGGATCACACACACACACACACACACACACACACACACACACACACACACACACACACACACACACACACACACACACACACACAAAGACGACCTATGGGAGAGATGTCAGAGTGAGCGCCTGCACATGAATGAGCGCTCAAGCACTTGGGTGTTTGGCGCCTTGTTCCACCTCTACAACAAGTCACACTTTCCAAACATGTTCAACAAAGCTGAGCTACTGCCGCCCGACTTATTATGATTAAATGTTAAAAAAGGAACTGATGCTTTATTAGTAAATGCTATAAAATCCCCTTTAATTCACCTTCAAATCACTTGTATGGATTTTCCAAAATGTGAATTCACTTGTAAATATTATGAATCCTATTTTACAAAACATTTACATTGATATGCTGTCTTTGTGCTGTTTTAAGTGAAATATAAATACATTAAATATTGTGCAAACCATCACATTATGTTCCTGTTTATAAATTACACAACATCCAAACTTTTTAGGAATGTGGGTCGTTTAAATCTGTGCCTCGTATTACAAACACGACCCACGCATGACAGATGACGGCTCAGCCAGAGTAAAAATATACATGTGACACATACTACCTTATTTTAGCTCTAACACAAAAGAATCAATCATGAAAGCTTCATATAGACCGCTGAGATTTCACTAAATAGTACCTACAAACTCTGGCTGGGGTATCTGCCCAAGACCCTGAACTTGTTCTAAACGCCTCAGAGTCGCTGTAATCTGCTGAGGAGCTTTGACCAAGTCCAGGGGCAAAGGCACGAGTCTAAACACTGTCTGAATGGCGTCCCGCAGGGCAGGTTGTTCTAGTAAAGGTTGTGTACTGCAGTCAGAAATGTCCAGAAATCCTTGAAAATGTCCCTCTCAGGCATGAATAAGAGCAGACGCCTGTGTGTCGAGATGACAGATCCGCACACCTGCGTGTGTGTGAAGCTGCTGAGACCCCTTCTCTTTGCAAATGATCATGAGCCGAGGCGGAAGAATGTTTAAAAGTGGACTGAAAGAGGAACTGCCTGCAAACGTTAACTGTGTTACTTCCTCATTATTAAAACAGGAAACTTTGTTCACACTAATCTGATGGAGGTGTGTGTGTGTGTGTGTGTGTGTGTGTGTGTGTGTGTGTGTGTGTGTGTGTGTGTGTGTGTGTGTGTGTGTGTGTGTGTGTGTGTGTGTGTGTGTGTGTGTGTGTGTGTGTGTGTGTGTGTGTGTGTGTGTGTGTGTGTGTGTGTGTGTGTGTGTGTGTGTGTGTGTGTGTGTGTGTGTGTGTGTGTGTGTGTGTGTGTGTGTGTGTGTGTGTGTGTGTGTGTGTGTGTGTACTGCTCCACAGGTTGCAGTTAGGGGAACTGTGTGCAGTTATTTTAGGAACTTAAAAAAGCCCTTTTTCATCAACAGGTTTATCAGGAGTTTTATTTTCTAAAGTTCAGACTCTGCATGAGTTCAGTTTGTCCTCCTGCCTGAGCCTCGCTGCTCGACCTGCTCTAATAAAGAGAGAGAGTCATCAACCATAACATAAAAAACAAAAAAGAGAGGAGGTCAGTGGTGTAAGTGAGCGGCTCTGAGAAAAGTGAAGTGTGCATGGAAAAGAAAAAGAACATTTTCGTGTCAAGGACATCGTTGTTGACTTGGCAGGCTGGTGACAGCCGTAACGTAGCATGTGAGGACGGGAACATTTGTTAATTGGGAGCAGAAAAACCTCAGCTTTAAAAAATACCCGCCTACGTGTGGACTAGGCTTAAGGTGGCAGCAGGTGTAGAGACTGTGAGCAAGAGAAGAGAAGGCAACAACCTAACAGGCCAGACGGCGGTCACTGGTGTCACACCTGGAGTAACGCTGCATTCAGGTGGTGTCGGACACGTCGGAAAAACCAGCACATGAACACCTGCTCAAGTCGAGAACAACAACTTGGAAAGTCGGAAAAGAATTAGGTGCCCGACTTGACGTCAGAATCGTCATCAGATGGGGGGACAAAATATGTTTTGTAGCCTATATGTTATTGCAGGTGTGACAAAGTGTTTGTTGGTCTCTCTCCCTCCTCCTCTCTCGATCAGCTCACAGATCTTTGTGATCGAGAGGTCTGATTGGTCAGGTGGCGGTGTTTCATAAAGGTGCTGCTCCAGAGCAGGTGAGGCGTTCAATGAAAAGTTACCATGGCGATCTACCCTGGCAAGAAGTGAAGCAGGTATGTAGGCCTACTGAAAACCCAGGGTGAACCCTTCATAGCCCCTCCTGCTCTCAGCTTTAGTTAGAATCATTTCCAGAGATGTGAAACGTGTTCATGGTATTAAGACTGTTTCAGCTGTCTAAGCTAACGAGGGGTTAAAGGTTCAAAGAGAAGCTTCTGATTGACCGAAGACAAATCCAGTCATGACAGACGGACGACGGACAGTCACATAAAGTCACATTTATTTGGTTGTCAGAACATTTAAGAAAGTAGAAACCAAAAAAAAGTAACACAGCGTTCAGTCTACATCAACATCAACCCCTCTCTCTGTGATGAGAAGATAAAACCGCAGACACAAAGGTCACACTACTTTTATCCAGATTCATGAAATGCAATGTGTGTTTTTCATCTACAGGTGGCAGCAGAGGTCCTCAAATACTTAAACCGACAGACACAGGGAGGACTTCTTCTCTCTGTTACTTTTTGCTTATTGAGCCACATCACAGCACACTATGGAAGGAGAAAATGAACATAAAACAAATCAGAAATCATGTTGCATCAACCATTATTTAAGTTATTTTTGTTGCTTTGATTAGATGGGACAGCTGAACAGAGAGGAAAATGTTAGGAGGAGAGAGTGCAGGATGACATGCAGCAAAGAGCCGAGGTGGGATTTGAACCCACAGCCACTTCAATGAGGACTAAAGCCTCTGTACATGGGGCGCGGGAGTAGGCCACCTGACGCCCCATGATGCATCTATTAAATGTTACATATAAACCTCATGTTACCTCAGATATCTGTGTTCCTCTTCAGTGTGACAAACATGCTGAAGGGAAGATCTTTAAGTTTCTTCAACACTATTTCAAATACTCTTCATATATATATATTTTTTTTCACTTTATCCAGAGGCGTGTCAAGAGGGGTGGCATTGGGGCCCCCTTTTGAAATCTTGTCGTCCACCTCAAAATCCTTAAACCATGATTGGCTTGTCAGAGGCGACTTGTGTTAGAATGAACTGTTCTGGCTGTGTTATTCACATGTCTTTTGTAAGTACCTTGAATTGTAAATATAAATTCATACAGGTGAGATGGAAAAGAGTGAGTCTATTAAAATCTGCAAGAAAACTCCTGTATGAACTAACAATCAACAATTCGATTCTGAAATATTGCAAGTAAATTTCTTTTTGCAAGTTAGACAGCATGCATTTTTAGGTACTTTAAATTAGAGCCCGGTCGATTCGGTCGATGAGCATTTCAAGTGGCTATTGGTATCAGTTCATTTGTTTTTGCAGATATTACTCGATTTATTCACCAGTGAAATGGACTTTAATTTGAGTTTCATTGTGTTACACTAGCAGTTCTCTTTCACCAGCAGAGGGCGCTACATGGCTAACAACAAGCATCATCACTCTCCAGAGCTTCAAGCGGTGATGCACCAACACGCTCAGTTACTTTCCAGTTGAGTGAACATCTTGTCTTCATGATAAATCTTCTCCACAAGTGTTTGATAACTGAGGGATCAACACAATAAATGTTTATATCTTTAAAAATCGAACATAGAGCGAAGAAAGATATCGGCTGATTTATCGGTCTCAGATTATCTCTTTATGTTACTATTGATATCAGTATCGGCCTCAAAATGAGTCGGGGCCTGCTTTTAATTGTGACTTTAAAATTAAGCTTACACAATGTTTATGTTTCCATCTCTTGTGTTTATGTTAAAGTGGATCTTATGAGAGATAGAAAGGGTTAATAAATTAAATAAATTCAAATGTCTCAGTCACATGCCCCCTGACTTTGTCTAAAGACTTAATATGATGTAAATATCCCTTCACTGGCTTCACCTCTTGATAAGACTCTTACTGCACAACCTGGGCTGACCCCTTCCTCTATGTCAGAGCTTTTAACCCCTTATGAACCAGGACGCGGTCTGAGATCCTCTGGTAGAGCTCTGCTGGCTGCTCTAAGGTCAAGACTGAAACCTAAAGGGGGACAGACCCTCCAAACATTGGACCAGCCTGCCAGAGGAGACCAGATCTGCACTCATTTATAATGTTTTATTCTATTAGTGTGCTTTTATTGTCTGTGGTGAAGCACTTTGTTACCTGTCTTCAAAAATAAATCCCTTAAATGTAAATATTATAAACGTTTCTTTAATCATCTTGAATTAACTTATAAAATGTTCTCCTGGGCGATGTCGCTGCACGTAAAAGAAAGATTCACACATCACATTTCCCTTTGTACATGTTTGTTTCTTTTATTACAGTTTCATCCACTTTCAACTTACATCTTTTAAAAAAAACAGACGGCAAATCATATACAACATCATTTCATAGTAAAAAAAAAATCAATCCATTAAAAAAAAA